TGTTCCTTGTCTTTGCAATCGAATCATGCCTCACCACGTGCCCAAACCAAGCTACCTTACGACATTTCACCACCGCCAAGAGAGGCTCCTGATGTTCCACAAATGTGTTTATTTTGTCTCTGAAATATTTATTAGTTCAATTAACTTCGGTATTTGTTGGATGCTGTGTGGCTTTTTTCTGAGCAATTTTACGTTGAGAAGTTTGCCAGTGTCCTTTTTTATCGGCAGGAAGCTCACAAATAATAATCATGGCATCCGTCAGTCCCAAGGGACAATGGAGAAGTGCCGCTAGCTTTGGGAACGGTATCTGCTGTGACTGGGAAGTCTGATGCAGGAGTGGCAGTCTCCGCCACATAGGATAGATTAAAAAAAAAAAAACATACTCTGTCGCTATGAGGCTGATTTTCTCTCCAGCGTCCCTTTTCTATAGCTTGCTGCCGTTTGTTTCTGTCAAAATGCGACGATCCGTCTTTCAATTTCTGACGCCATCGTAGTCGATCTACAGCTGATTTTCCCCAAGTCTCCGCGCCTATGTTGGTGTCTGTCAGGTCACGTTTGCTTCTGTTTTTATAACGTAGCTTTGGTCTTCCTGTGTTGTCTTGCTCTCTGTTTCCAGTTCGCCATACAGAAAGTCCTTTGGAATACGATCATCCTCCATGCAGTAGACATGCCCCAGCCAGAGCAGATGTCTTTGCTTCAGTAGACAGTACATTGATGGTATTTTTACTTTTATGGGTCTGACTGACTGATTTGTTTTACCCCACCAGGACATCACACAATCGATAAACACCCGGTGACACAAAGTGCCACCATGCGGATTAGGATCACCTGTGGAGAGGTCATAGAAACCCTTTTCAGTCGTTGAGCAATATCTACGGCTAGGCCATATCTATGCCCCGGCTATATTCAGGGCTTCTGTCAGAAGACAGGTTGGGGTTTCAAATAACAAAAACTGTATTCCACATGGAGGAGGACTTATCGCTCTTGTGGGTACATATTCGTTGCAAACAAAGTCTGGCCATGATAAACAAAGGATGCGCCTCATACAGCGCATTTGGAATGTATTCAGTCTCTTTTCCCGAGGAGCACATAGAATCCAGGACTCGCTGCTGTACAGTAGGGTGCTCAAGACACAAGGCTCATAAACTTTCATTTTCGTATCGTCAGTCAGCTTTACGTTTGATCAGACTCTCTTAGTGAGATTTGAAAACATTAAAGAAATCTTTTCTATATGTTTATTTAGCTCTGCATGTAGGTAATGATCGCCTGAGATTCGCGAGCCTAGATACTAACTCATGTACAGACAACAGCCGATAGTCATAAACACTAAGGACTCTCATCATCATCATCAGTTGTCTTTATGCCTAGTGGTACATGAGGCTTCAGAGAGGACTTTCCATGCTTTCCTGTCCTATGCAATCTTCAGTGCAGTTTTCCATGTCAAAGATGTTGCACTCGGTCACTTTCCATCGTTCGTCTCCTTGTTTTTTTTTTGTTTTTTTTTGGGGCGCCTTTTTTTTTTTTAAATATTTCTCTCTGGTATCCATGTGAGAGCTGTTTTGGCAGATATATCAGGATTCATTCTCATGACGTGACCAAGCCATTTCCATTTTCTCTTAGTTATCATACAGTCTAGAGTTTCTTGGTTTGTGACACGAAGTAGTTTAGTGTTTGAGATTGTATCTGGCCAGAAAATTTTGATAATTCTACGTAGACGTGTGTGGTGGAAGGTGGACAGCTTGTGTGCATCCTTTTTGGTCATTCTCCAGCATTCTGCTCCATAAAGAAGAACTGGCAAAATGATGCTCTTGTAGAGAATGATGCTCATACAGGGCTCAAACCCAACGCAAAGTTGTCTGTTGAAAAGTTTCTCGTAGGTTAATGCTATTTAAATGGCGGCCCTTGGACTGAATCTACCACACGAGAGCCTAGCAAATGGCTCGTGGCTCATTGTATTGTATATAATTATTTGTCTATACTGGGGTGGCCTGTTTTCTCGTCGTGTTGCTCTCCATCTGGGTTCATGGACCTCAGAGCCACGTATTATATCCCCATTTCCGACTTGTCTTACACACCCTCCCATTCTCTCTCTCTCTTCTCGTCCCGTATCTTCTCAACTCAATATAGCATTAATTGTAACAATTTATGCCCCTATTACTTGTTATTTTCCCTATTTTTAAGTATTTAACTTTTGTGACATTTGTTGTATGGAAGACCGAAACCATTCATTCATCAAGCTAAATAGCCAGCGGCGCATATTTCTATATTTGGAAAGATGAAATTAACGGTGGATTTGAAAAACTAAAATAGATAGCGCTAGACAAGTGACAAACCGAATGACGAAATCAGCATTCTGCTGATTCATTCGCCGTCGCGAGTTAATCAGAACAATACTGCATTATAAATGAAAATGCAACTTAGGATGCTATTTCAAACTGAGAAAAGCTGATAACAATACAACTAGAATATCGTCATACCGGAACCAACAAGATCAAAGGAATAAAGTAAATCAATAGCACAAGGTGAGTGGAGTTATTAACGTGACATGAAACAGAGAAAAAGGACATGGGATGAGCTAAACAAGATAGTAAAGATAGGCAGTCAACTGGTTGACGAACTATCCTGCATGTGGACATAAAGGGCAGGAGCCGCAGCAGCAGCAGCAGAAGAAGAAGAACATGATCAAAAAGAAGAAGAGGATAGAGAAGAGGAGAAGGAGAAGAAAAACCAATGCTTACCCTCACTTCATCTGCAAGTCCTCAGTTTAGCATGACTTAAGTCTGCACTTGATCTATAACATCCATCATTTCAGAAATGAGAGCCTACCAGAAAGTAGTTGATTCTCCACCGATGTACAGTCATGTTTTACCATCTCACACGATCACCACAATCATAGATCAAGTTAGTGCTCTTGTCTTGCCCCATCCATATGCCCTGATCATTCAATTTGTATCGCCCCCCCCCCCCCAACAATTCCTGCCATTTGTAACAAACTTCTACTGGTCAATCCTGCTCACGTGTAAACCCACCCAATTAGCAGGAGAACAGGACAAGAGCATCAACGACACACAACACTATACTAGCAGACCATTTCTGAGTTTACAACTTGAAGCTCTCCTTTATAACTCTTCTAGTTAGGAGATAAAAGTAAAGGTTCCTTTTCCACGCCTTTAGGCACACGGGGCATTAAGGGCTAGACTTATATTTTATAGACCAATCTGCACTTGGTGTGTGATGTGGTCAGCATCACACCAGCCGCCTTTACTTCCCTATGACTGCACCTGGTACCCACTCAAGCCTGGGTCGACCTGGGACTTTCTGATCTGCAGGCGGGCATCAAGCCGCCAACGCCACAGCAACTCCCTTAGTTACAAGATAACTAACTATAAATCTATTCAATGCCCTCTACATAGGGGTCACTACACCCAAACAATTTTTTTTTTTTAATTTACAGTTACAGCAATTATTTTATAATGGTCATTTGAAGGGATACATGTTATTACATGGGCATACTTTAAGTGTAAGAAAAATCATGGTTGTCATCGCAATAGCAGCCATCTTGGGAAAAAAACACCCATGTACTTAGAATCCTAAAATTATAAAAACAAACATACGTATTAAACAATAGATGATAGATTTATTATCTTTAATCATATTTAGAGGTACATGTATAGTTTGTTTACTTTAAATTTCTAATGTTTGTAGTAAAAAAAATGTATTGGTATATTACATTACAAATAATTCATCCTACAACAAAAATTTTAATAAACGGGAAGATTCTACATGAATAAATCATTAACAGATTTGCGTTCTTGCATTGTTTTACATTTTTCTATTCAATCAATAGGTCAGGTGTCGTCTCCATAATGAAGGCAGTCTGCAATGAATCTCAAACATGTCTGTATTTTGCCCTGAATGTTCACTCTTGCATCCACCTCTTGATATTATTTTCCATCTGTCACTGATGCCTGCATGCTTGCCTTTATCTTTACCCTCTTGTATAGTTTGTAAGAGAGTAGTGTCTATTAATTTTTTGTTTAGTATCCAGAACCCATGAGTTATTGACCCTTAGGATCAGTATTATGGATAACGCAACCCTTCGGCCTTGATTCCATGACAGATACCGTAAATCTGGGAGAAATGTGGCATTACTGCCTACCCCTGGGCGTGAACCCTGACCACGAGGAGTTCGTCACCCAGTCACCACATAGTCAGGTTTAGCCAACTACGCTAGCAAGCCGGGCGTGTCTTTTAATAAAGCCAAAGTATTTCAATTGTCTGTTTTTTTTTTTTTTTTAAATTAGCAACTCTTTTTTATTCCTCAACAGTGCTAAGGCACACATAGATCAATAAGGTCTGAGTTGAATGGCACTGCGAAGAGTTAAGCTCAACACTTAAGGAAAATGAAAGACGGATACACAATCATACACTTACTGGTACCATCAGAACTGGAACTCTTCGCTTGCTGCTGAAGATGGGGACAGAGTGTTTATGGCAGTGTCCCCAGTGCTGTGATGTTGTGACGAGCGTAAGCTTGGGCCTACGGTGTGACGTGCTGTAAAGGCTGCGTGGTGATGTGCGGCGTACCAAAGATCATGATTCCTGGTTGCCTGGAACAGCTCTCTTGATGATATCCCTCCATGCCATCTTTCAGCCCATCCAGCATAATCTCTCTTGGTCTGCTTCTACCCCTTTTTCCACTGATCTTTCCAGTTGTCACGATGTTCTCCAATGTCTCTCTTCTCAATATGTGGCGAAATAACAGTGTTTGTCTCTTTCTTACTGATGTATATAGAGATCTACTTTCATTAGCCTCTTATAGCTGCGTATAATGTACTACTTTTTAGAGCTTTCTCCAGGCAATCTGATAGCTACTCTGGCTGTTCAACATATTTTCAAAATTCATCTCAGAAACCACATATTTGATGCCCCAAGCTCTTCCAAACTTGTTCGTTTACATTCCGATATATGCTATCACAACAATCACTAAATAAGTTAATCTAGGCTAATGGAATGAGATAATCTTCTGTTGGGAGTAATCTGCCCTTGCTGACACAATCTTCCAGCCAGTTTGGTGTAACCACACGACACTTGACATCTCTGATTAAGTCATTCAACTCCTGCAAGCAAATTTAAAAAAAAAAAAATCGTAACTATTTGCACAAGTGTATCTGCCACCTTTTTAAGACAGGATAGGTTGAAAGGAAGGTCTTGAGCCTGAAGATTTTGGGCCAAATAACTACTGCAATCTCTGTGAACTGTGTAGGCTATGTATGATCGTGCATCTCATGATATAAAAAGAAATGTATTAATTTGTGTGCATGAAAAGCTATCAAAGAATTTTCTCTCATTGGATTCTTATATCTCTCTTTCCACAGATCTTTACAGTTGTCGCATGTTTCAGTTTTTTTCCCCGCTCATAATGATGTAAAACATGATGACTGCCTCTTTCTGATAAATTATTTGTCTCAAATATGAAAAAAAAAATATTAAAAAAAAAAAAATAAAAAACATTTATTCCCCCAAAGCGAAAACCATGTGAGAAAACACATGGCCAGAGGGAAGAGGCATCCAGGGCACATTTGGGAACCCTTGGTGACTTGCTGCTGATGTGCCGGTTCATAGAGGATACACAGCTGATATCATGAGCATTTGAAACCGATCACAAATAAGAAAATGAAGAATACACATCCTGGCTGTCCAAGGTATTTTCAGCATTCTTTGAACTTACTTTTAATTTTTAATTGCAACTTACTATTTGTCCAACCATATGTGACAATTTGTTCAAGCAACATTCAACTGTAATTCTTTTCATTTCCTTCAATGGCAGAGACTTACTGAATATTATTCATTTTATAAAATGCAGTTTTGGTTTGTGCTAATACGTCATATTCTCTCTCCGATCAGATGTAATCTACAAGCCTAGACATCTTAATTTATTTGCTTGCCCAAATTAAAAACAGTCACTTTAAATGTGTAATTAAGCATGACCTACTTTTCTCTGTTATTACTATCACCAGTCTCTTTCAAATTCAAGCACTTTAAAATTCAAGCACTTTAAAATTCAAGCACTTTAAAATTCAAGCACTTTCAAATTCAAGCAGACACCTAATTTTTGCACTTTTATACAGTTACACTTGCCTGTTGAGATAGTGGTCCTAGTTCAACTCCTAAAAAGTGGCCATATTTTTCTAACAAGTATAGTTCTAGAGTTGACCATTTTTCTTCTGCTTCTAACAGTCCATGCGGTATTTTCTTTTTTCAAATTAGATCCATGCTGTATGGCGTTGGTAGTCATGTGTATCCATAACCTTCTGTCTCATGTACTTTCAATCAATTCTGACACAAATGATCTTCCCTTGTTCATGCTACGTGACGTTATTAGTCATGTCCAACTACAACCTTCTTCTTACCACGTCCATATAAAAATTCGTCATCCATCCTCACTTATTCTGGCCTTGAATATATTAAGACCTAGCACTGCAGATCCCAACCTGATTCATCAGCATCTGCAACAGGACCATTACTGCCCTTTGTAACTGCAGAATCAGTTTCAAAATTGATTTAACAACAACAAAAACACACAAACACAAATGTAAATGTAAGATATTTTGGGACAACTCATATCATTTCCTATATTTATCAATTTTTCACTTCTTCTTTACGTCCTCTTTTACCACTTTGGGTGTCGAGGGGAAAAAAATGTCTCAGTACCTTTTTACACAAAAACAAAAATCATTTTGAGACTGAATGTGAAATAGAGAAGCAACTAAATAAATAAGTAAGTATAGTGTGGTAACCACAAAACATGGAGTACACATACTAGTTTGCTGGTGTTGGCATCAGTCACCAGATGTGTTGTTGAGTGACTCAGGCGTTTTTCCACATCACCATCGTAAGTTAAAATGTTAAGGTCAACTGATTACACAAAAAGATAAAGTATTCATTTAAGCTGGAGCTGTGGTTACTTAATTATTTGTTTATTACCCCCCCCCCCCCCCCAAAAAAGGGGGGGGGTATATGGACTGGGTTTAATCCCTAACAGTGGCAGGATTTTTTTTTTCTATGCACTTCAGTTCCTTCCTTCCTTCCTTCCTCCGTCCGTCCGTCGGTCAGTCAGTCGGTCTGTTTGTCTGTCTGTCTATCTGTCTGCCTATATATCTATCTATGTCGTCTGTGGGGACACCATTTGTTAGATACAAAGCCTAGAAATTCACAACAATGAGAATACTGCTCAAATGAATGAATACAGCTGCTAAACAATTATAAAATGGAACATCTAAATAAATTTAGTTGACAATTATGCCAGGAATAAATGAAATTCCTGGACTTGGCAAGAATATGCAGCCAGAAATGGTTTGTTTCTTCAGTCTACTCTGAAATATACAGGTAATACTAATAGCAGGTTCCAAAATTATTTTAAATATTTTTTAATTAATGAATCCGGCTTTTAAACATTTATAAAGTCATACATCTTTAGCAACTAAAGGCAAGTGCAGCAGCAATGTGGCTAGGACTGTGATTGCCAACCCAAAGGTCTTCAGTCTGAATCCTTATCAAGGACCCAGTCAAATTGGATACTAGGAAATATTCTGGTCAGTAAAGTCAGAGGCACAATCAGATCATTGCTGTCTGAAGAGAATGGTACAATAGGGAGTGACCAGGGGATCTGGCCAAAGCACAATATGCAGGCAAGATGGACATACAGTCAGACTGTTTCTGGTACCAATGGAATTGGAACTCTGCACTTGTTACTGAAGATGGAAACGGAGCACTTATGGTAATGTCTCAAGTGCTATAATGTCAGTTGTGAACTCCTAACTCATATTTCATCCAGGATTGCAAGTTATACCTGGCAGGTGTAGCCGTTACCGGTGGCCTAATTATAACTTTTATTGGGGGCGCTGCATGCAGTATCTGGCATCTGCCTTGTTCGTCTGCCATCTAGATAGAGACCTGTGAATCTCAGGATGGTATGGTAACCTTTAAGTATAGCCCTGAGGAGACAAACTGATCGATCAATCAATTCTTTACTTTTACTTCCCTGAAAAGCAATTAGGGATGAAAATTTATGCCAACACTAATAGTACTCTAAGCAAGGATATGCAATCAGAAATCTTTTCAGTTTCTTCTGGATCTCCTCTGAAATGTTGTAGAAGTACACAGCCACACCAGAGAACAGGGCTGGGAGTTTTGTTGAAACAGCTGCGGCGGCTGCTGTAATGTTGTGTGATGTTGTTGGCAATGAAGAGCTGGAAGATGTTGCAACCACTGCTGCTGAAGTGTTACCTTTATGAACTGAGAGAAGACAAAATGTACATTCAACCAATGTTGGTACCATCATACCAATATTTGGACACTGATTACCAGCTGTTGGTGATTATTTCTTTTATGTTATTTGACACTTTGATGCATGTGGCTGTTTTTCTCCAAGTTTTTGTTAATATTGTTTGAAAGTTTTCTTTTTGTCCTCCTCTTCTTAATTTTTTTTAAACGTGGTTGGTTGGGGGATTAGGGGGGGGGGGGGGGGTGGAGTCCACTAATTGAAAAAGAAAAAACATTGAAAACCACTGATCTAAACAGTTGGTGTTCAGCTGCAGTGGATAAATGGATATGTGCATCCACTGATCTAAACAGTGGTGTTTAGCTGCAGAGGATAAATGGATATGTGCATCCACTGATCTAAACAGTGGTGTTCAGCTGCAGTGGATAAATGGATATGTGCATCCACTGATCTAAACAGTGGTGTTTAGCTGCAGTGGATAAATGGATATGTGATCCACTGATCTAAACAGTGGTGTTCAGCTGCAGTGGATAAATGGATATGTGCATCCACTGCTCTCTTAGGGAATATCATGTGGTTACACCCTAAACTTCACCAAGTGCAACTTTCATACCACCATCTAAACACAAGGAAAACAGTTTCTTTCAAGATTATGGAAATCAAACCTCTTATGTTAAGGACTATGAAACAATCACCTCACTTATGGAAATTAAACCTAATTTGTTGAGGACTGTGAAACAAACATCTCACTTATGGAAATCAAACCTAATATGTTGAGGACTGTGAAACAAACACCTCACTTATGGAAATCAAACCTAATTTGTTGAGGACTGTGAAACAAACATCTCACTTATGGAAATCAAACCTCATGTGTTGAGAACTGTGAAACAATCACCTCACTTATGGAAATCAAACCTCATATGTTGAGGACTGTGAAACAATCACCTCACTTATGGAAATCAAACCTAATTTGTTGAGGACTGTGAAACAATCACCTCACTTATGGAAATCAACCCTAATATGTTAAGGAGTATGAAACAAACACCTCACTTATGGAAATCAACCCTAATATGTTAAGGAGTATGAAACAAACACCTCACTTATGGAAATCAACCCTAATATGTTAAGGAGTATGAAACAAACACCTCACTTATGGAAATCAAACCTAATTTGTTGAGGACTGTGAAACAAACATCTCACTTATGGAAATCAACCCTAATAGGTTAAGGACTGTGAAACAATCACCTCACTTATGTAAATCAACCCTAATACGTTGAGGACTGTGAATCAAACACCTCACTTATGGAAATCAAACATAATATGTTAAGGACTATGAAACAATCACCTCACTTATGGAAATCAAACCTCATATGTTGAGGACTGTGAAACAATCACCTCACTTATGGAAATCAAACCTCATATGTTGAGGACTGTGAAACAATCACCTCACTTATGGAAATCAAACCTCATATGTTGAGGACTGTGAAACAATCACCTCACACTAGCCGCATACATCCAATAAATGGACTGTTAATTATCCTGTAAAACTGAACTGATGCGTCTTGCTCTTCTGGCCACCTCAACCATGGACTCACTGTACTGCTGGAGAGTTTCTCTGATGTTTTCTTTCCATTTTGTTCTTCATCCACCTCGTGCTCTATGTCCCTCTCCTCTCATACTAATTCTAGCATGTTGCAAGTAAACACTAAGTAAACATGACACTTTAATTCTATCTCACCTTTTGAAGTATGAATGGTTACATTTCCATTTTTTCTTTTTTGTGCCTGTTTTCTTGGAAAATAATAGCTTCTATCCATGTAAGGGTGTTTTATAAGTAATTTCATTACAATCAATTCATAAAATTTTAGAGACAACAATTGAGAAAACAAAAGTAGCACATATAAACTCATGAAACAAAAATGAATATTGGCATATTCTATCAAATGGGTAGTTTCACGCTGTGATGAGTGTGATCCTTGAAATCAATCAAACATTAAATCTTTGAATCCAATGAAGCAATCAATTTCTGAATCAATCAAACAATAAATAAAATAATGTGACTGATAGTCCGGCTTTATATTAAAGATGTTTTTGTTCTAATTTGTGTTGATCTATTCAGCACTGAATAAGTAGGAGAAAATACAGGTGTATTTTAATCAGACTGCACCTCTTCGACATCAGCATCGAACTCTTTGTGCACAACCGAGAAGAGGACCCAGCATGAGTGGGTATGTCCACACTTTAGAAACGTCAGTTCTGTGTTTATTCATTCAATAGCTGCTATGCTACATAACTCTTACTGTCTGCACAAATTCTGAAGTCAGTCAGTTAGTGGACAAATTATCCTGACTGCACATCAAACCGTTCAGTCCATAAGTGCTCGGATCCCCTCCTCAGTCAATCCTGTAGTGTGTTGCGGCTACAACACCAGCTCTGTCCTGGTTTCTTATTCTTCTTTGGCTACCTGCACAGTGCTCTTTTCTGGCCACACCTCTTTTAACTGGAACTTTTCCTGTGCCAACTGATGGCTGTGAGTCCTGGACTCTCACTCAATCACTGAAGAAAAAGACTGGAGCTTTTGCATTAAAATGTTACAGAAAAATTCTCAGAATACCATGGATCAAGAAGAGGAAAAGCATTGCCATTCTACATGAGTTAAACATCAAGGAGAACTGGCTCATAAACAGCATCCTGTTCCAAAATTCGAAGTATTTTAGCCACATCAAACGTCATGGTGGCGTGGAAAAGAGGGTGATGGTGGGTGCAGTTTGTGGAAGGTGAGGCAGGGGTTGACCACCACAAAGATGGATACAGGACACTGAAGATGCACTGGCACTGAAAGCACATGGGGCTGGAGAGCTGGGTAGGGAAAGGGGCCTCTGGCAAGCGTGCCATGAAGAGAGGGATGTTCTGTAAAGGACTTGTTGATTGATGATGATGATGTTCTTGCAGTCTAGTCATGGTGGCAGGTTCAGTGTGAAGTCTGAAGCCAAGAGGACCGACTTCACTGCACCAGATATTATCCGATACAGCTCAGTCTCTGTACATACAGAACAGCTAGCTGCCTGCCACAAGCATTGCACAGAGCATCAACTCTGCAGCTCCAGTGATGATCCCTTGGGATCTCTGTTTACTGGAAAAACAACTGCACTCATGAAAAGATGTAACCTTTATAAAATAACCTTTGACCTTCAGTAAACTTTGCCACAAAAACTCTATTTGTATCAAATAAACACAAATACAATAAAACCAAGGATACATGTAAGTTGGAATGCCTTTTGCTGCCAGATGTTTGTGTAGAAGTCTCTCAGTGCCATACCAGTTGAAACCAGGTGTGTCATGGCCAATACGAGGTAGATGGACGCTAGCTAAATATAGATAACACACAAAATAATATTCTGTAATTAGTTAATTCAATGTAATAAAGAGACAGTAAAGAATCTATTTCAACATCATGAGGGGATTTGAACACTTGACCATGGGGCTGGCAGAGCAGGTGTGCTAGCCAAAGAACTACTTTGCCTCAAATTTATTCTTTCCCAAGGGCCTTAATGTCTAACACAACTTTATCTAATATTTTTGGATTACCTTCTTTGCCATAATTTGGCATCTGGCCACCTAAACCACTTGTCCAGTGTCTCTGGCATATGAACGTAGAATCTCTACTGTTCAGGCATGATAAAGATGCACATTCATCTTCTTTTTTTATAGCATTTGCCAGCTGTTAACTCTGGTAGAAAGACCTTGTTGTTCGTCTATTTCTGGATTTTAATCTTAAGAACGAGTTCTATATGCAATCTATTTTACATATCAGGCTTATTTGTATGCAGAATGTTGGTTTCTCGCCTCTCAAGCTGAATGCACTCCGACTTGAAGGAAACCCCCTTCTAATTAGTAGCTTTTTATGATATACTTGTCAGGGGCACGGTGGGTTTATTCCCCCCCCCCCCCCCACACAATGAAGCCTGGGAACCCCCGGAGAGATCCCTTCCACACAATGAAAGCCTGGGAAAAGTAAACCCCCCTTCCACACAGTAGAAGCCTGGGACACCCCCTGCTCCCTTCCACACAATGAAGCTTGGGAACCCCACCCCCTTCCACACAATGAAGCCTGGGAACCCCCACGGAGAGATCAGAGGGTTCAGAATCTTCAGCATTAAAGTAAGTAAAAAGTAAAGGACCCTTTTCAAGCCAGTAGCATACTGGACATATGATGCTCGACTAAAATGTGTGTAGAACAGTCAACAGGTGATGTAGTCAACATTAGGTTGGCCACCTTTAATTCCTCGAACTGTAAGAGACTCACAGAGAATGCTGGTGTGTTGGGGAATTAACAGATGGACAGACTGGCTGGCTCTGCGCAACTTGGTGGAATACTAATGCATGATAAGGCAGACATAGTTAGTGCCTTATGGGAGAGCGTGTACAGTTCGGAGGAGCAGATGGATCACCACAGTCTGGTGAGACTGATGCAGGGGAGAGTGACGAGGTTTTCTGGCAGATGCTCAAGGCTCAAAGGAAAGGCAAGACGGATGTTTAATCAGAATGCTTACTGGCACTATTAGTATCGGAACTCTACACTGACTTCTGAAGATAGGCAACAAAGTGCTTATGGGAATGCCCGGCGTGCTGCGATGTCGGTTCTTGAATCAACTCAACTCAACACACTGCTTGATAAAACTCTGATCAGGATTCTGAACAGGATATTCGAATGTGCTGGGTAATGATCAAGCCGATAGACTGGCTGCTGCCACTCCTTTGAATGGTGGGTTACTTTATGGTAAAGAAGATGTGGTAAAGGCTTTCCAGGATCAAGTAGACAGTGCAGCAGAACAGACAGAGTAGCCATACCTTGACAGACTAATTCAGCGAGGAGTGAGCACAGATTGTGGAAGATATTAAGCACTGAGAGGGAAACACAGGCAGACTTTTAATCACGTTGCAGCTACTGAGGAAGGCGATGGAGCAGGTGTGGGAATGTCCCGAGTGTAGAGATGTCAATTCTTGATTGATTAATTCATTCATTCGTAAGTATATTAATCAAAGTACGAAAATAAGAGATTCCTTGAAAACTAGGATGGGAAGGTACATTTTTTTTCTACAAATATAGAAAGAAAAATTAATGAATCCTCAAGACAAGATAGAAAAACACTGACAACCACAAACAAGCAGAATTAACAAAAGTGCAATTATACCACAAACAAGCAGAATTAACAAAAGTGTAATTATACCACAAACAAGCAGAATTAACAAAAGTGCAATTATACCACAAACAAGCAGAATTAACAAAAGTGCAATTATACCACAAACAAGCAGAATTAACAAAAGTGCAATTATACCACAAACAAGCAGAATTAACAAAAGTGCAATTATACCACAAACAAGCAGAATTAACAAAAGTGCAATAATACCACAAACAAGCAGAATTAACAAAAGTGCAATTATACCACAAACAAGCAGAATTAACAAAAGTGCAATTATACCACAAACAAGCAGAATTAACAAAAGTGCAATTATACCACAAACAAATAAAGTAAAAGAAAAGTAAAGAACCTGTTTTCACTTGAGCCCCATTATACGTACAGGGCCAGTCCAAGATTTTTACACCAATTGACAATCGAAGAGTGAGTGGTCATCCTCATGATAGCTGCTTTTACTCCACAGAAAATTTTCCTATACACATGTTCAGGCCAGACTGACCATTTTTGCCCAAGTTAACAGCAGTCGCATTCCCACCTCAAGAAGAATTAAAAAACATGACCACAGAGCTGACAAGTAAGTACATTTAAAAAGTAGGATGAATAAACAATTAAAAAAAAGGCAAAACTACCAATATATAGACATGATTGAAAACTGACTACCTTTCTTGTCACTGGCAGCCTTATAAACTTTTGCAGCCCAAGTTTGAGGGCTTGGAGTTTGATTCCAGAAAGTTTATTGCTTGCGCCTGTCTCTCTGTTGTGCCACAATTAACGCAATCTGAAAATGAATTAGTTGGTGCAATTCTTACCATTTTAATGTCAGCATTTCAATATTAATGTAAGGAATGTTAACTTAACATTGCTATGTTACACACACAAATTTACAAGCAAAAAATTTATTTATCTAGAAACTTCCCCGGACTTTTTCTTGCACACAATTTAGGCTGGGTCCACATGAAAGCCAAGATCAATTCTTTATTTTTTATTTTTTTTTATTTAAAATTAAAAATACCCTCCCCAACTGAGATTCAAACCAAGACCATGAGGTTAACAGACAAGCATCTAGCCGCTGCTGCCCTCAGTCTGTATATTTATTACTGCTAAACAACACAGAAGAACTTACCCAGTCATGACCTTCTTCCCGGCTTTCAATATCATCAAATGGAATCAGATGGCAATCTCCAAGAGCAAGATCTATAGGTGAGGTAAACACACACAGAGAACAAAGGAAGTGTACTACTGGTTCAAACAATCTAATTCCTTACTTATCCCCTACCTTGCTCATACACTTATCAAGGTGGCTGTAGCAGTGCTGCAGCTAGCATGTTTGTCAGCCAACTCAGTTGTTACAGGTTCAAATGCTCAGGGGAGGAAAGTTTGAAAAAATACTTGGGCTTCCAGGTCAAGCACACTAAAGCTGGATATGAGGAACCATGGCTCTCTGTGCGGGGGCCATTTAGTAAAGGGGGGGGGGGGGGTGGTCCACAGGTGGATGTGCAAGCAAAACTCAAGTTCCGGAAGAGGATCAAAGTTCAGAAACAGATGAAAAGAGAGATGGAGAAGACATGCTCCATGCAGAGTGGTAAGCATCGCTTTAGATGACCCCAGCAGTTAGCATTCTTTGGATCTTTTCTTTGGAGCATACATGCCTGTTGAGAAATGAACAGGCAGATAGATTGGCTGGTGTAAGAGTGCTGCACCAATGGATGTGATTTCATGCTTGACAAGCTAGATGTGATCAGGGCATTTTGGAGTATATGAAGAATGCTGAAGCAAAAATACGTCGTTATGAGTGAGAGAATGGTACAGCGGGGTGTGACCAGGGGATTTGGCTGACACTCTACACTAACAAAAAGCAAGACGGACATATAATCAGCCACTGGTGCCACCAGAACTGGAACGCCTCACTGGCTGCTAAAGGTGAAGAAACAGTGTATATTGAAATTTCCCAAGTGCTGTGATGCTGGTTGTAAACTCAGCTTACCTATTGTCTGCATGTCAGTGAAGCTCTTACTGGAAGCAAATAACAGTAACACTATAACCAACCACACATGACATAAGAGGTGATTAAACTGGGTTTGCCTGGTATTGGCTATATATCCACTGACAAGTTTGAAGTTGAGCTGCAAAATTTAGCCAATCAATAATTTTTTTGCCTGTAAAGTCTTTAAAACAAATGACAATGTTCAAAATTTTGTTTAAAAAAAAATTGTTATAATTCTCAGAAACATTAATTTAACAAACTAGGGGAAGAGTGAAAGCAGAAGAAATGTGAAGTCTTTAACAGTTATTATAACAATTCAAGGGGTTGGAACCTATGACCATCAAGCAGACAGGTAAGCCTGCCAGCTACTGCACTATAATGGCCCTGCAAGTACTAAAGAGATGGATTTTCCAAATATAAAGTCTATTTTGCGTAAAAATGACTTTTAATTTTTCATATAAGAATGGAAAAGTTGAGTTGAGTAGAGCTGATTCAAAAACCAAATCACAGCACTTGGTGCTTTCCTATAAGCGCTCAGTCCCCATCTACATCAGCCAGCGCAGGGTTCTAATACCAATGGTGCCAGCAGCATTCTGACTGTACGTCCATCTTGCCTTTCCTCTGAGCGTCAAGTATCGGCCAGATCCCCTCGTCACTTCCTGTTGCATCAATCTCACCAGATTGTGGTGATCTATTTGCTCCTCCAAATTGTACACATTCTCCCACAAGGCCCTAACTCTGTCTGCCTTATAATGCACCAATATTTCACCAAGTTGTGCTGAGCCAGCCAGTCTGTCCACCTGTTCATTTCCCAAAGGGAACAGAAGTGATCACTAAATATAAACAGAGATAAAAAATAACTGCTTTGTCCAAGAAAACAGGAGTTTTCTTGACACTGACACAGAGAGAAAAGTGACATCACCATAAGTTTATTATGATGTCACAATGATTTACAAAACAAAACTTATTTTCACACCATTATCTTAAACAAAAGTGGTTTTTTTTTTTAGGTGTAGGTATAATCATATCCACCATGCCCACACACTATGCAATTGCAATCAGTATTAAAGCTGTTATATAAGCATATTGGCCATTTCCACACAAAAACCGATATGAAAAATCATTTTATTTTTTCAAACAAAGTTGGAAAACAGGCTTTTGTGGAGCAACAAGGTTTAATTAACCTAAAGAAAGATAAGGATTTCAGTCAAAGTCCCTGAAAGATGAACCTACCTTTCATTTTCCCAGCAAGCTCATACCGGGTTTCTGGTTGTGAAGATCTAGCAGAGATGGCAGAGAACAAACCACCCTGGCCCCAACTTCCTGAATCATCTGTGCATAAATAAAATCAAGATTTTTCTTATAAAGAGGCATGTCCACTGTAATTATCCCATTCTGTTTAAACAAAGAGAACAACAAATGAGATGGTCTGCCGAGAATGCCCTGGTACCAACTGCCACAGAGAGCCACGCTGAAGAAATATAATGAAACAAAGAGCAAGGGAAAAGACCATGCAAGAGATAGAGCGAAACCATCAGGAGCAGCCTAACAGAAATTAACATCAACTTGTACAATGCTTGGGAAAAAATAATACAAAAACAAACCTTCAAACCCCCCCCCCCCCCCCCCTTCCCCCCATCCCCACTCCAACATCTCTCTGAGGTAAATGATGGAAGAGAAGAAGAAGAAGAAGTTTAAACAAAAACTCACCATGAAATTGGTTGGTTTCAACTATCAATATATACTTTTCTATGAACTCATTATAACCCATCCAATTGTTACACTACATACGCTGCATACAGTCTTATTTAAACACCTCCTGTTCCGTAATGTCAGGAAATTTTTCCTAGAAAACAAAAGAGGTGTTGGTACTCACCTACGGCATTAGCACTAAAATAAAATTCCTTTAAAAAAAAGGTTGCCTGGTACTGCATATTAAATATACTTTTCGTTCAGTTTTATATCTTTTCTGCATATAAAAAAAAAACCTACATAATGCTATTGAAGTATTTTTTTTAGACACGTATGTTGATTAAATAGTAAAAAGAATTATGAAGAAAAGCACTCTCCTCCACACTTGTAGGTATTTTGGGCATACAGGACTAGACCTGTATCTTATAGACAAATCAGCACTTGGTGCGTGGTAGGATCAGCCATGCTGGCTGCCGTTACTTCCCAGGTCTTCACCTGGTACCCATTTAAGGCTGGGTCGACCTGGGAGCCAAGGTCATTTTTATTTTAAAGTGTTGCTCCGTCAGGGCCTGAACCCACGACCATCAGATCCGCAGGCCAGTCGTCTAGCTGTTACACCCAAATGTTCATGGCTTAAAGTAATCAATTCTCACAATGCAATGTTACACCTGCACTGCAGCGACAGAATTAAGATTTATAAAGAAATGGAAGTGGTTTACAAATATGAGGCCTCTGTAGCAAAGTAGTCAAGTCATTTGCCTTATGCTCTAAAGCAGTTGTCTCTAAACTTGTTCAGGTGGTGCCCCCCTTGAGTATAGGGCAAGATCCCCCCAGCTCCCCACTACTAACTAAATGTGATTAAAAGAGACGGTCAGAGATACAAATTCCAAGTATTGTTAACAAGAACAACAGGCACATAAATCACAGTGTCAAATAACAAAAAGAAACAATAACTAACAATTGGTAATGTAGTGTGATTAGTGATTTGAAAGGATTATCCTCACAGCACTCTGAGAAGATCCATAGGTGCTCTGATCTCCTCCTCAAAAGCTCCACAAGTGTAAAACGACTAATGTCGCCTGTTCTATGTTGGTTAATGAAACGTCTTGTCCTCTTAGTGAAATGTTCATTTCTTGCAGCTCCAGGCTGCACCCCCATGTCCATCAGTCTAGACAGAGTTATGGAGTCATGTCCTTTGGTGTGCATGCCTCGGTACGGTAAGTGCAGTGCATGGCATTGATAACATCACTTCTGTCCAGTACTGGACAAGCCATAGCAACCACAGTGTCAGCAAGATAGTCTGCACACTTGTTCCCTTAAACACCTGCATGACCTGGTAATTCAGTGTCTAAACATCAAAGTGATGCTTGACACTGTATTGTCTGGATGATATCTACAACTGTGATCTGATGTTGGACAGGGCACATTGGAGATCATTCTCAACATCAAGGTGGCAGCATTGTTCTCTAAATTTCAAAATTGTTTGACGCCCCCCTCCCCCTTTTAAAAATTACTCAGACCCATCTTCCCACTTCCCAGGTTGGAGACCACTGCTCTAAAAAGGGAGGGTTTTTCATCATACTGTGCCATTCTGTTCACTAGCGTCATTCATAGCTAAAGCGTTTTTTTTTTTCTTTGTATGATGCTCCTGGCAATTGCCTAATATAACCTAACTGGAAATGATTTGCCTGTCACTCGCTAGGTCTCCAAAGGCCAAATTTGGCGCTTTTGCTGCCCTGACTAAGGGCAACTTATCAATAACAAAAAAAGAGACAGACAAAATGAGAATTGAGAATGCCATGCTACAGGTTGTGTGTGTTACCATAGTTCTAACTTACCTACACAGTGGACTATGATATTATCATCTGTTGAAGCATCTACAGGATGGGTCACATCTCCTATCACATGTCTTAAGGTCAACTTCTTTCCTTGGCCAGCTGCTTCCTCATCGCTACCATCTTCATCATCCAGTGTGATGAATTCACTATCTTCATCTTCTTCCTCCTCTCCTTCACTGTCTAGAATGATGTTGGAAGATGTGTATTTATTTGTTTTCCACAAAGCTTCCCTGTAATTAAAAAAAAAAAAAAAAAACTGGATATTACATCTGATATTTTCATAAATGACAGAAACCTGGCACATAAAACAAATTAATTCAGTGACATAACAATTATATGAACAATTTTCATAAATGACAGAAACCTTGCACATGAAACAAATGAATTTAGTGGCATAACAAATTATGTGAATATTAATAAATGACAAAAACCTGGCACATGAAACAAATTTATTTAGTGACATAACAAATTATATGAATAATTTTAATAAATGACAGAAACCTGGCCCATGAAACAAATTATTTCAGTGACTAACAAACTATGAATAATAGCTCTTTGACTTTGGATGATAACAGGAACAAATAATAATTCCATAGTACATATTTTTTGCTGTTTTTATTTTTAAATACAGTGAAATCACAATCTATTTGTGCATTTTAAAATTAAAATAATGTCCACGCCTAAAACTGAAGAAATTCAGGGCTTCTGAATGTAAATATTATTTAACAATTCTAAGAATATTATCAAGAAAAAGATAAGAAAAAAATAAACACTGATATTCTATTATTAAAAAATCCCCCCCCCCCCCCCCCAAAATTTTTTTTTTTAAACAATTGACTTTTATACAGCATCACATTTGGAAACCTGAAATACTTCAGCTGTATTCAATGCCCTTTTTCTTCTTTTGTCCTGTATTTCTCAATGGAGCATAGGCTCTCAACCAATTCATACCAACTGGTGCTATCTTTTGTATTCACATGCAGATCAAACCATGTCCTCTGCATTTGAAAATGTCACTACTCTCTAGTTCTCTTCTCACATAAATCAACACCACAGTAATTTACAAAGAACAGTTTATGGACAACCATCGTTCCTTAAAGAAGGAGAGGTGAAGCAGCATGAAAGCGGGATTAAGATACTGGAGATATCCTCGGCATGAAAACATATGGGGCACCAGAACTGGCAAAGGGAGTCAGGGTCTTTATGGTAAGCCATACTGAGAGCAATGATCTGTCAGAGCATTAAACTGTTCAATATACTCTTAGTTCTTCCTTATTTAAATGTTTTTTGTAACTCTGCCTGAACTATCACCACCAAATCTTTTCAGATTTTCAAATTAGTATTCATTTTTTTTCTTAAACTCTTTCAGTTTCAGGCAACACAGTGTGTGTTATTATATCTTTTGTGTTTAGTCCATGTCTACTAAAGAAATCTGGCTAAGTATTTTACTGAGCAGCCCAGTTGTGAATTTGGATGAAAGTGACTTGTGCAAGGACTTGAATTTAAGTGAGGAAGAGTTGCGCAATTTGTTATCCTCACTCTCTCGCCTGTGTCCATTTTGACAGTACAACGTCAAGGCGACTGGAAATGGACCTGGTGCAATGGATGACCAAGGCATTTTAGGTGCCCTGCCTTGTTTGAAGCTCTCGACAGAGCCTGGTGATAATCACCTTCTTGTCCGTTGAACTATAAGAGCTTTTATCTGCACAATACGCTAAGTACAGTCTTTGCATACAGGGTAGGCATATGCCAATCACCGAGTGGTTTAGAACCAGGTCAGCTACCCTCTCCTGGTTTAGCCAGACCATGAAAGCTTTTGCCCCGGCGTGGCCGCTGTCGCATGCTGACAGCTGCTGGGAGCCACAGGAGACAGCTGAGAGCCCAGTATATGCTGTGTCTCAATGCGGTTTTTGTGCCAGATTGGGTTTCAGCTGTATAAAAAGTTGATCGATCGTCATCATCATCATCATCAGGTGCCTTGCCGACTGGCGTGGGCGATCATGCCTCTCCATAATCCATGATCTCCTGCAGCATGCTTCAGTTCGTGTGCCGACACACCTCCATGCCCCATGCAATAAGACTGTCAAGAATCTTCTCTCGTTGTCTTGCTCTATCTCTCCTTCTACAGATCTTTCCAGTGGTCACAACATGTTCTATTTTTCCTCTTCTCATAACATGGCCGATAGCCAGGTTTATTTCAGCTAACCTTTTCTTTCTTTGTGCTTGAGCTTTAGCAAGTTGCTGCTCTTCGGCCAGAAGTGCTTTCTTCTCTGCAGCTTCTTGTCTCTGGGGAGAAAAAACGCCTTTATACATAGATTATTCTTAACTTACAGCAGACATCTTGAACAGAAAATAAATTAAGACACAGAGAGAAGTTTGGGATTCGCTGTGGCGTAGCGGCTAGGCGCTGGCATGCAGATCAAAAGATCGTGGGTTCACTTACTGGTGGAGCCGGACTTTTTACAAAATGACCTTGTCTCCCAGGTCGAGCCAGCCTTGAGTGGGTACTGGGTGAAGTCCCAGGAAGTAAAGGTGGCCGGCGTGATGCTGACCACATCACCCATCTTCTGCCAATTGGTCTATAAAAATATAGGTCTAGCCATATATGCCCTATAGGCCTAAAGGCGTGGAACAGAAGTTTGGGTTAATGATCCTGGAATTTTGGACAAACTCCAGTAATTTTTTTAAAATTCTGATGTGCAACAATTTTGTGGAGTTGTAAGTTCTAGAGACATCATATTTTGTTTATATAAACAAAATTGAAGAATGTGTGACTTAAAAACATTACATTCTATCTGTGAAAGGTAGTGCAAACATGAATCTTAGTTACTACACACCTTAGCCACAGCAAGGAAAGATAAAAACTCGAACAAAAAGTATATCAGCGAGCTTCACAATATAACAAACATTAACAAAATGTGAAGGCCTTCATCAGCACACACACTAATCAGACAATACAACACAAATTTGCAATATCACTTAGCTTCGTATCTTGAAGCAGCCAGGTCAATGTCTAGCCAGTAGACTGGCCGGGACAAGCGGGAAGGGGAAAATAAATATCTAGGGAAAGCCATGGGCTGAAACTCGACAATAAGACGAAACTGTGTAGGCAGTTCAGTCCGCTAGCATTCTAGATGAAGCTGTGATGGCAGTTTAGTCCACTGGGTGCCAGAGTTCCCAAAGTGTACATATAGCGATTTTCAAAAGTCTTGCGAAACTTTGTCACTGGAGTGAATGGATTTAATGGCTGTCACCTCCATGTCGTGGATACCTAGAGATAATGGATATGTTTCAAAATAAATATCCGGTTAAAAATACCAGTCCTAGGCTACTTGACAACATTTCCTGTACGTCTGGTATACCTCCCACGCCTGGTTGTATCAATCTACACTCCCAATTCTTGCATTCTTAGCAGTGATGTGAACATGCTGTTCCCACAATCCTCTGAATGTCCTATCTCTCTAAGGGCATTAACAATGTAGGTCTGCATGATTCACAGGCATACTTTCCTGGAGAGAACAGCTTTACATGCATGTATAACAAATCTGACAGTGAAAACTGTTCATAGAGCAGCGGTTCTCAACCTGTAGGTCGCAACCCTTTTAGGGGGTCAAACGAGCCTTTCACAAGGGCCATCTAATACCATCGGGAAACACATATTCACTAAAGTTATGAAATAGCAACGAAAATAATTTTATGGTTGGGGGGTCACCACAACATGAGGAATTGTATTAAAGGGTCGCAGCATTAGGAAGGTTGAGAAACACTGTCACAGAGGAATGTGAGTAACCTTCTTCCTTCTCTCTTCAAGTTCTTCTGGAGTCAACTGCCTTCGAGGTTTTCTTTGAGGGAGGTTAAGAGAAATCGCTGTTGAGCTAGTTGTTGTTCTAAGGGCTCTCTCTCTTGATGGCTCACTTTGCAATGCTTCTTTCTCAGCTGTAGATGTAGCAAATACAATAATGCAAAACAAAGTTTAGAGAAAGATAATCTCTTGCAGATATTACTAAAAATGTGTGAGGTGATCTGTATCTCTCCACCTTCCCTCCCCCTTTTTGTTTTCTCTCTTTCTGTCTCTCTAACACATGCATGCACAGACACACATACATAAATAACTGCATTATTAACACATTTTCATAGCAACATATTTTCATAGCATCATATTTTCATTGTGACTTAATAAATCAGGCTTCCCTTTTACATATTTACAAACATACGCACACACACATACCTAGGCAATTTCTAATGGCTATACTGGCTCTCCTTCAAACTTCATCCCCATATTATGGCGGCCAAACAAACACCCTAACAGGGCCTCAGTCATATGCAAATTGCGGAGTTCCTGCCGAGGAAGAAATCGCGGCAAAACTAGGATTACTTGACAATTTCAAGACATGCAAAACTGCAGACAATAGTAGCAGGCGAAAATAGCGACCATTGTAAATTTTAAGCATTTCTGCAGATGGCTAAAACTGGAAACGGTGCTAGCAACTGGGCACTAGCTGGCCCTTGTTTGTATCATATTTATCTGAATTTCAATGGTGTCACTGCCACAAAGAGCAGATTTTCCGGCACTATGTGCAACTTTTGTGCCACAACTTTCACACATAATAACGTTAATTATCTGTAAGTATTTCTCTTTGTTGTTGTCCTCACACTTTTCAGCATGCGCAAAACGTGGTTAAACTCACAGTCGACAGTGTCCACCGCGCTGCTACGTGCAGCGCGGATGGAAATCTAAACTAGATGCCTGGGACTTACGAGCAAATAAAGTGGAGGAAGTTGCAGGAGATGCGGTAGCTGCTGCTCGTGAGTCCCAGCCATCTAGTTTAGCCCCCCATCCACGCCGTGCGTAGCTGCGTGGGGGATACTGTCGGCAGTGCTGCATAGTCGCAGAAACAGGTCCGCAATTAACATATCGCTGAGACCCTGTTAGAGTATTTGTTTGCCCTCGATAATATTGGCCCGCTATTCGGAGGCAATCCTAGTTTTGCCGCAATCTGTTCCTCGGCAGGCACTCCGCATTTTACACACGACTTAGGCACTGTTAGGGTATTTGTTTGGCCGCCATAATATGGGGACGAAGTTCAAAGTAGAGCCGCAATATTATTATTAACTCTTTTGGTACAATATAGGGCAACTTTGTTTAGTACTAAACAGGTGTCAAATTAACTCATTCTACCTTACAAACTTATTACTTTAATTAATCAACATTTCAGGAGCTGCCATTGTGTAGCGGCTAGGTGCTTGCCTCGCAAATTTGAAGGTCGTGGGTTCGGGTACTGATGGAGCCTCTTTTTTTTAAAACTGACCTTGGCTCCCAGGTTGACCCAGTCTTGAGTGGGTATCAGTCATAGTCCTAGGAAGTAAACGCGGCCGGAGTGATGTTGACTACATCACTCAAAGAGTATCGACTGGTCTATAAAATATAGGTCTACCCCTAAATGCCAAATATGCCCAAAACCAACGTTTGGGTGTGAGGAGTTCACTAATAGCACTTAGGGACAAAAGGAGTTAAAGAGAGAGCTGGCTCCGAGTGGGTCTTTAAAAACTGGGTGGCTCATAGCGAAATCAGAAAAGTATATCAACCAACAAAACCAGGATGACTGGTTGGTACAGAATGAGTAGAGTATAAAGAAGAGGAATAAGCGATGCAGTGGCTAGCATACTTGTTTACAAGCCCAGCGGTTTTGTGTTTAAATCCTCCCTTGAGGCAGGAATTTCTTAAAATTGATCTGGGCTTTTAGGTTGACCTTTCATAAAATGTTCACTAGAATATTCTCTGGGAAACAAAGGCGGTTGGCATTATACTGATATCATCAACTATCAAGAGTCAGTCAGTCCCATATAAGTCTAATGGCATGAAAAGGGGTCTCTACTTTCTAAATACTCTGAAAGAAAAGCTTTAAATGAATAACAAATTCGACTGAAAACTTCAAAATATGATGCAAGACAATAACATAAAACATACAGTTTAGAAAGTATATCTGTAAATTGTCACTTCATGAATGAGTGCCAGACCCAGAATTCTTTAGGCCAATCAGCACTCAGTGGGTTATGTGGTCAACATCAAGCTGGCTACTACACTGATACAGGAAATTTCCTGGTACATATTTTAGACTGCGTCGGGAAGCCCACATCAATTATAAAAACCAAATCTTGTAACCCAGGCAAGTTCCTACTGACAGTGCTATCTCACCTCCCCAGATTTCAATAGCGACAAAACCACAACATTCAAATCTGTAGCTAACATGACAATGAAACATATTTCCAGTATACCTAACACCAGCTGCTCAAATGCCTTGACGTCTGCTGTGGAGGGTGCTTTAGAGTAATCTGTCCCTTCAAAGACATATATACTCTGAGCTGGCTTCTCCTTGTCATCTTCAGAACTAGTTGCCTGTAAGAAGAAGTTTTTAGAGTAATTTCCTGTTGGTTTAAATGTTCATCCCAATGTATATATTTCTTTATCAGCAGTGACTGGCCATGCATGAGTCAGAATGCTGAAATCAGACCTGACTACCAATTCTACACCGTATGGACTAGGACAGGGCTATTCAACTAAGTTCACTCAGAGGCCATAATTTTGAAAATGGGGGGAGGGGGGTCGCCACAAGCCCGAGCCCTAGCACAGAAAGATCATTAATACAAAACATCCGGTAACGATCTGCAGGCCACTTGCTAGGCCAAATCTGGCCTAGGGGCCGCGGGTGAATAGCCCTGGACTAGCAGATGTACTGCTTATACCTAGTACTGAATTCTAAGAAAAATAAAATTATGTTTTTTTCTCTCTTATCCTGTTGATGTTGGCAACATCACCCATTGAATTTTGATATTTCTACTTACATATAAGTCTAACATCATATGCCAAGTGCACCATAAGTGTGAAAAATATCCTTTCACTTTCCTTTTATATTTTCACTCATTAAACAAAAATACGTATTCTATGTTCAGTTGTGGTTTTATGCTAGAAGAGCAACCCAAAGTTAACATACATGCAAATGTCACAATGTAAATATTTACGAAACCAAACAAAAATAAATACTATGAATCCCACACTGTAAACAAACAAACAATAGTAACAAAGAAGGAAAAACATGCATTTTACATACCTCATCATTCTTTTCAAGGATTTGATGTTTGTCTTTACTTTCATATGCTTACGGATACATGATACAAGGACGCTCTACGTGTCATCACAAAATCTGTCACTAGAATCTCTGGCTTTGTCTTCAGCTTTAGTCTCTGGTCCAATAAATATTTCAAGTTATCACAACATGCTTGGCTCCCAGGTCAACCTAGCCTTGAGTGGGCACCAGGTATAGCCCTTGGAAGTAATGGCAGCTGGCATGATGCTGACCACATCACCCACTGAGTGTCGATTGGTCTATAAAATATAGGTCTAGCCCTATAAGCCCAATAAACACCTGAAGGCATGGAAAAGGGTCCTTTACTAAATGTCCAGGATTCACAGTCATATGTTGAAACTGGTTCTATGTAATATACATAATCCCTTTTTTTTCTAACCTCCAAAGACAGGGTTTTATTGCATAAGATGTTCATCTACAAAAAATGCAGCTTTTGCCTGTAAGAGATTCAAAGAATAACATCACTGTAACCTGACATGAATGTTATAACAGCTTTCTTTTTCTTAGCATTCACTGGCTGTAAACTCTAGTGGAAAGTTCTGGTTGTCTGTCCACTTCTGGACTTTGGTCTGGTACATGGAGCATGTCTTTCTCTGTCTTTCTGTTGTTCGTCAGTTTCTGGACTATGATCTTGTTCCAGAAATCCTCAGGTTCATGCACATCCATTTTATAGAACTGGCTCATTTGTATGCAGACTGTTGGTTTCTCGCCTCTCAGGCAGATTCACTGGACTTTGAAGGAAACCCTTTAATTAGTCCACTCTTATGACATACTTGGGGAAGGGGGGGGGGGGGGGGCCTTGAGAGGCATAGTCACTATCCTTTCTCCCCCTAATAAATGTCACCCGTGAACTCACATCAGGATTGAAAGAGCCAATCAGGGAGGCTGGCTTTCTCATCCCATAGTCCCTTATTTGCAAAATCCAGCTAAACATAAACAAATCAAGAAAGGATGTGATATTAGTCATCAAGGTCCTATGCTCCACTGGGAGATGACAAGCAGAAAAGAACAACAGCAACTTAGAATGTCTAACTAAATACAGAGTTTCCCATAATTTCCACACCAAGGAAAACACATTTCAATGCTTGTCCACAAACTGCTGAAGCACACCTGATATAAGCACACCTGATATAAGCACACCTGATATAAGCACACTTGTTATAAGCACACCTGGTATAAGCACACCTGATATAAGTAAAGCTGGTATAAGCACACCTGATATAAGCACACCTGGTATAAGCACACCTGATATAAGTAAAGCTGGTATAAGCACACCTGATATAAGCACACCTGATATAAGCACACCTGATATAAGCACACCTGATATAAGTAAACCTGATATAAGCACACCTGGTATAAGCCCACCTGGAGTTATGCTTGTAAAGGCATTGGTGAAAGGTTTATTTTTCACTATGTATAGAAATTTTTTTTGCAAGATAAAGAATATTTTATGCAATCTTTGTCAATTCAGACGAGAAGAAGAATTCTTAAAAGCTATATAAATCCTATCTTGATATATGGAAGTGAATCATGGACAGTCGATAAATTAGTGAAAACTTATATGAAAGCTGAGGAGATGTGGCTTTATAGACTAATGATGAGAATACTCTAGACAAATAACAAGAGTAATAAAGATGTCTTGAAAGAAACTGATCATGAAGGGAACTAACTGTCCACTTCAAAAAGAAACAATCTACATTCCTTGGTCATGTCACAAGAAGGAGAAAACTGGAGTACATCATGACAGCAGGAAAGTTGGAGGGAGGAAAGGCAGAGAGAGACTGAGAGAACAGATGCTGGACAGTTTGACATCATGGCAAGGAGGATCATTTTGTGTCAAAGTTAACTGAAAGTACAAAAGACAGAAGGTTGTGGATAGACATGACTACCAATGCCACATGGTATGGACTTTAAGAAGAAGATAGAAACTTATTGGACATCCTGTAGATGCACTAACCTGGCCTGTCGACTGGAAAAGAGTTTTGTTGATGCTGCTGGATGAAGTAGTGAAGTTCCCACTTTCAATGACTTTTTCTGTCAGACTGAGTTTCGCTTGTGCTCTGTGCAAAATGATCTCTTCCACAGTGTTCCTTCCAACCAAACGTATCATCTTCACCGGCCTGAAAATTGCAGAATAAAAACAAAACTACAATTAGGCATAGTCTCTGAATGATAAAGAAAACTGCAACAAAAACTAATATCAACTTAACTTGAAAGAGAAAACCAAGACTCAAATATTCTTAAAGAGTAGATAAGATTACTTTACTATTGCAACTCATGTTAACACTCTGGGGTAAATGGAGGAACATCGCTGTAGCTATGGAATTTTGTGCAGACGGCGACAGAGGTGGACAGTTTCTTATCAGCTATCCATACTGGTGGCACTTATGGTTTATAACCGTGTGCAATGACACTGGTTCACATCTCCGACTTTACCTTTATGCATTCATTATATATTAGGTGATTGGGCTTTTCTGATGTATCTAATTTTTTTTTTTTTTTTTGGTCACCACACTGCTACTGAGTTCTAGCCTAGTGTCGTGGTGTTTGTCTTGCACTTCTTGGGTGGCTTTAGTGGTGATTTTGTTTAATGCGGGAACCACTCACTGTTACATCGACCAGAACTGAATGGGAGTTGTTAGCCTTAAAAAAATCACTTAACAGACATGCTCAAGAGGAGATCAGAACACTGATGGCAATGTCTGATGTGGGACAAAGATGATCTTTAAAAGAACAATGAACAACTTGTCTATCTTTTTGCAGGTTTCAGCTATGCCATTTATCAATTTTTTACTTGGTCTTTCTCTAGACTTCCTCTCAGATGTTCTTCTGTAGAAGATCTTATACATTATTCGGTCTTCCTGATGTGGGTTTTGGGATCCCATTGTGGGAAAAACAATAACAGACCCACTGCCTCCCTAACAAGCATGTCATAAAAGTCAACTAACTGGGGACTTCCTTCAAAGTCAGAGTGCATCTGCCTGAGAGGCAAGGAACCAACAATCTGTATAGAAATAAGTGAAATCTGTAAAACGAATGTGCATGCAACATTCAGGTTCTGGAACAAAACTAACGTCCACAGGATGAACAACCAGAACTTTCTGCTGGAGTTTACAACTGGTGAACGGGAAGAAGAAAATAATTCAGACTGATTGCAGTTTTACTAGATCGTCAAACCACTTGCTTCTCTGTCTTTCAATTTAATTTGGCATGGTCTAGTTCCAACCTTCTCTCTAATGCTGGTATTCGTGACCCTGTCCTTTCTTGTGTTGTTGATGTTCATGTATTCTTATTTATCACTTGCACTTCCTCTATGTAAATTTAGTTAAGTTCAGGTAAATCTACTTCTGAGCATTCACCGGCTGTGTAAACTACAGTAGAAAGTTATGGCTGTTTGTCCACTTTAAGACTTTTGTCTTGTTTCAGAACTTGAGCTTTGTGAGTACATAACTCCATTTTACAGATCTGGTTTATTTGTGTGTGGACTTTTAGTTCCTCTAACTTTGAAGGAAAACACCTAATTAGCCAATTATTCTGACATGCTTGTTTAGGGTCTACTCTTTTCCCCCAAAAATCGGGCTCAGTTCCCCCCCCCCACCCCCCCCCCCACCCCACCCCAGTTTGATACAGCCAAAAATGGGTACCAGGAAATTCCACAAGAAGTAAAGGCAGATGAGGTTATGTTAAACAGATCACTCATCACATGTCAATCAGTCTATAACAGTATGCGGTTTGCATTACCACTCAATTCACCTTAAAGGGTGAAAAGGGGTCGTTTTTTTTTTTTTTTTTTGTAACCTTGACAGTTGGTTGAACTTAACTATCCTCATCTCACTGTGATATATACTGACTCACTAACTATTGGCACAGGACTGTAGGCTGCACAAGGCTTATATGACAGTTATTGGTGCCCCAATTAAACTGCTTTTTAGGTTTAATAGGGTACGTAGGATTGCCATTTATCTGCCAAATTGACAGATTCTGTATGTCAAATGCTCAGGTAGCAGCTGGGAGAGAAGCAATGGCACACATGCATGCACTGGGACAATATCCAGTAATACGTCTGCTTCATCTTTGGATAAAACTAAAGATTTTCAATCTCCGTTCACAAATTCTATAGCACTGGAAATAATGTGCAAATGGCTGCAAATGTCCACACTAAAAAAATAGTCTTCTGTGACTATATTTTCAGACACAGGTTTGATTTCTCTGTGTAAGGTCAAGAATTTTACTGTCGAGGGCAAAAATATAATCCTAACCTGCACCATCCCTTAGCGAAAGCACTAACCATGTGATCCTAATTCTTCTTCTTCTCTTGTCGTTTCACTGATACCAGGTTGTAGCCTAGTGTCTTGGGGTTGTTTTTTTTAATTTTTTATTTGTTCACATTAGGCTTCTCAGGTAGCTTGTGTGGTGGATTTGTTCATCTTTTAGCAGGTTTCAGCTACATCTTTTATCCAAACCCTAAATCCTCAGCTTCAAAGACGCCCCTGCCTTTTATTATCTCAAGACATCATAGATTCTAACAGACAGACAAAACATCGCCTTCATGACTACCATATGCTAGATCAATGGTAAACTAAACACAGGTCCACAGAAAAATACCTATCAGGTCGGAGCAATGGTTCTCAACCTTCCTAATGCCACGAACCTGGGCTCTCCTTTAAACTACGGCTGGTAGACAACAGTAGACGGCCGGTTAGTCGGAGTTCAGTCCCTTGGCTACAGTGCAATTACGGACTGGAGAAGGCACGAATCAAAAAACAAAGTGAGGTCGACATGCCTGGCAGACCCCGCGCTGCGACTCAAATTAACGACCGAGTTCAATTACCGCTTCTTGCGACGCATTACGGAGTGGATTAGAGGGAACGACACAAATAACATAATTACTGTGTGTTGGCGATAGACAGCGTGCAGTGCCCTACTGTCATCATACGGTTAGGGTTTGGGTTAGGGTTAGGGGTAGGGTTTGGGTTAGGTTTAGGGTTAGGGTTGCTACTTTGAGTTTGTGCATAGACGTGATGCGGCGACACTAACACACACTACCCCTAACCCAAACCCTAACCCAAACTTACCTACCCCTACCCCTAACACTACCCTACCCCTAAGCCTAACCCTACCCCTAACCAAAACCGTATGATTTTAGCAGGGCATTGCACGCTGTCTTTCGCCAACACACAGTAATTATGTCATTAGTTTTGTTCCCTCCTTTCCACTCCGTATTTGCACTGCAGCAAGGGGACAGAACTCCGACTAACCGGCCATCTACTGTTGTCTACCGGCCGTAGTTTAAAGGAGAGCCCGAACCTTTAATACACTTCCTTATGTTGGGTGACCCCCAACGATAAAATTATTTTCATTGCTACTTCCTAATTTTAGTGAATATGTGTTTTCCGATGGTCTTATGTGACCTCTGTGAAAGCGTCGTTCGACCCCGAAGGGGTCACAACCCACAAGTTGAGAACCGCTGGGTTGGAAGGTAAAAGAAGAATATATTCCAATAGTAATAAAATATTCTGACCTCTCTTGTCCAATCCGGTGTGCCCTGGCTGCCGCCTGCAAGTCATTCTGTGGGTTAAAGTCACTGTCCACAAAGATCACAGTGTCGGCTGACGTTAAATTTAACCCTTGACCTCCTGAATAAATAGTTTTGAAAATTATAATAAATATTTTTGTATAAACTCACCAGCACTAAATGGCTAATGTAGTCAACGCCATAATGGCTATCTTCACTTCCCAGAACACTTCCTGTCTGACCCACTTAGGTTGGGTTGACCTGGAGGTAAAGGTCAATTATAAAAATCTGCCTCGATATAGATATAAATCCCTGAAATTTGGCCAGATGGCAAGTCTAGCCACTGTGACATCACGACTGCCAGAACAAACAGTAAAGTAAAAGACCCTTCTGCACACCTTAATGTATATTGGGCACATAGAGTAAGAGCTATATTTTATAGCCCAATCGGCACTGGGTTGGTGATAGGGTCCATACCACGCCAGCCACCTTTACTTCCCAGGACTTTACCTGGTACCTATTTAAGGCTGGGCCGACCTGACAGTTAAGGTCATTTTTTTAAATAGTCCAGCTCCTCCAGGACCTGAACCCATAACCTTCAGATCCGCAGGCGAGTGTCTAGCTGCTTACATCACTGCAGCTCCCGAACAAACAGTACAGTACTAAATTAAAAGGCAATAAACTATTAAAAAGGACTTCATTTCTATGCTATCCTGGGATACTGGGGATATGGTGTAAGCCCTAGATGTTCTTGGCCAAATAAAACTTGACTGGTGATGTCAGTATTACACTGGCCACCTTACCCTTATCTGGTATCAATTTTTGGAGACTCGATAAAAGCCACAGCTGTGCCATCACCACAAATTCCTATTTAACTCATTAAATTCCTAGGAAAGCATCAGATGTGATCAATAACTGCCACATTATATCATGCAACACATCTTGTGTCATTTCTTTTAGATCTATTCTGCGTAAGTATATATATCTGCCTAGATGTTTTATTTAATGCATCAAATATGTTGCCTTTTGAAAGTATTATCGATGGTAATTTTTTTATGGGGGGGGGGTGTTATGTTATTGTAATAATTCAACATCAACTGTGAAATCGTCTGGGAGTGAATGACTGTATCAATCAATCAATCAATCAATCAATCAATCAATCAATCAATCAATCAATCAATCAATCAATCAATCAATCAATCAAGAACTGATTTCATTGCACTCCGGAAATTCCCATACATGCTCCGTCCCCTTCTTCAGTAACCAATGAAGAGTTGACATGTTAACAGCACCAGCTGCAACCTGATTTAAAGTCCACCTTTGTTTCCCCTTCAGTGTTGGATAACTTCCAGAACCCCTACCCCCCCCCCCCCCCACCTCCGCTACCTGTTGAATTAGTCTTTCAATGTATGGATTCCATATCTGTTCTTTTGCACTGTCTATTTAATCCCATAGAGCCTTAACCACATCTGCTTTTTCATATAGTAGCTCACGACCCAGAGGGGAGGCAGCAGCTAATCTATCAGCCAACTGTCTGGAACGGAAAGAGTTAAAGAAGAATTTTAACTTAGGATAATGAAGGCAGCTGTTGTAGTGCAGTGGCTAGTACGTCTGCTTGTTGACCTGGTTGTTGTGTGTTAAAAATCCCATCAAGGCAGATATATTTTTCACTGAGCTTTCATTAACTCAACCTAAAATGACTACTAATATGTGAAAAGTATAAGATGGCCAGTATGAAAATGACAGCATCACACACTGAGTACCGATTGGTCTATAAATACTGAACTGGTACCCTACATCCAACACAACAGCCCTATCAAAAGCCACCTAGCCAGACCACGTCGGATATGTTGCAACAAATAACCAAACTCAGGCAACACTGATCGCCACACAGAATCAGAATTCAAGCTCAGTTAGCAAATGAACCTTTCCTTAATATAGCAGGCATTCAGGCAGCTAAAAAAGGATCAAGCTTGTAACTGTTGTTTTCTACGAATCTGAAACCGATACTTTCAACATCCTTGATGGTGAGAAAGAATACTTTTCCACACCTTCTGACGTATTGGTCCTACAGAGCTAGATCTATATTTTAGAGACCAATCGGTACTCTGTAGGAGATGTGATCAGCATCATGTCAGCCTCCTTTACATCCCAGGACTTTACCTGGTCTCCATTTAAGGCTGGGTCGGCCTGGCAGCCAAGGTCCAGCTCTGTTCAGAATTGAACCCATGACAATCGGATCTGCAAATGAGTGTCTAGCCGCTAGATCAGGGCAGCTCTCGATGGTGTGAAAAGGGATCCTTTATTTTACTTTGCTTACCCTTGGATCAGCAATCAAGGCAACTATCCAATAAACTACTTTGGCCCCTAACTAAATTAATAGGACTAATGTTCAATGAGACTTGCCAAAAAGCAGTTAAAAAGTTAGCTGAGAAAAGATACAGTAGCAATATAAACCTAAAAGACTAGAGACATGGTTTGATCTTTCTCTGATTTTTCCTATCCTCCAATGGCTGATAGGCCTTGTACCAACTCGCAGCAAGTAATCCCTTCCTTTGCCATAATGTGCATCCCACTCCATGCCTTCGCAATCTTTTCACTTCAGGCAAGATTTTCCCAATCATTAAGTGACATTTGTTTCCAATCATACACTGAGATTATGTTTCTATTCATTGGATAAGGAAATTTTAAGGCAGATCATTGTGTTTTATGACTGGAAACAGATCTCAGTATTTGATTGCAAACAGATAAAACTGAATTATTGGAATGATACTTCACTGAAAGAAAGGACAGACAGCTCGCTGAATGATGTAATTTTAACATCATTACTTCTGCACATCTCTCTCTTTCGCTCTGTCTCTCTCTCTATCTCTCTCTCCCACCCTCCCTCTCAATTTTCAAAAAGTAAAAAAAAAAATTTAAAAACTTAGCAAGCTTGTTTACTGCCTTATTGTAAATCTCTTCAAATTCATACACAAAACAATATATCTGAGTTAAACGTTTACCTGACTCAAGAAAATTAGAAAAACTATACGAACTAACCAGCCTTTGTACTGAGAAGAAATACAAATGTTTCATCATTTGCATTAAAGTTCTGCACAGCAAGAAATCTTTCCTCCCCTCTAACTGACCCATCAAGGCGCTCATAAAAATATCCTGAAATAAAAATGCAAAACAGGGCATAACAAGTTAACAAAATTAAATAAACATCAAAAAGAAAACAGAAAAATATGAACTCTTTATCTTTAGTCTTGTCAGCCTATAAAGCTGCCAGGCCAACATTTCCGGTTAGGTCCAGTCCAGGAGAGTCACTATACTGATGGCAATAGAAGCCTCTTTATAAGATGATGATGATGTTTATAAGCCGGTTTTCTTCAGTGTTGAAATATCGTCAAATGTTTTGAATTTTCTTTCTGTTTCTTGATATGTGGTATTTTAATGTTTATCTGTAACATTTAAGTTTAAAATTCTTGATTCTTTCAATCTTTCATTGCAAAATGGTCAATCACTCATAACTGCATGCTAAAGTTAACAGGTTAGTTGCATATCTTTTACAGGACACTGCACAACTGTTCCTCACTTAAATCCAAGTCCTTGTAACAAGGCAAACACCAACAGCGAAGCACATGGAGCACAAGGAAGACCAAGAACAAGAAAATAATTCTACAGTGGCACAATGCGTCTTTGATTGAGGCGGCCATAAGAGCAAGAAGCAGAATCTTATATCTCTCTCGACGGCGGAAGTGGTAAAAAAAGGAAGTGCAGAAAAAGAGAAAGATGAAGGAAACCTTTTCACACTATTTGCACATCAAGTATGTGGTGCCAAACCCATACTTTTAAGACCAGTCAGGATGCGACGAGTGATTTGGTCCAGATCATTTCATCCACCAAGATATTTCCTGGGTCAACCTGAAGTTCTAGGTCAATGATTTAAAAAAATCTGTCCTGACGCAGATTCGAATTCTAGACCTTCAGCGTAGCAGGTAAGTGTCCACGACTGAGCTACCAAAGGTCTCTCTTCTTCTTCTTCTTCTTCTTCTTAGGGTTCACCGGTTGTTAACTCCGGCAGAAGTTCTGGTTGTTAGTCATCCATCTTACAGATCTGGCTCAGTTGTATGCAGACTATTGGTTCCAGGTCTCTCAAGCAATGCCCCCTGTCTTTGAAATATAAACCTTAATTAATCTTCTCCTATAACATGCTATTTTGGTTGCAGTGGGTACATTGTTTTTATTCTCAAAATGGGGACTCAAAAACCACAAGGGGAACAGGTACCTCTACTAGCCTGACTCCTTTTTTCTTCTTAATGTTTAATGTTTAATTCAGAATCAATATCATTCCCATAAGTGCTCCGTCTTCATCTTCAGCAGCAAGTGTGGAGTTGAAATTTTGATGGTACCAGTAACTGATTGTATATCCGTCATATCTTTCCCATAAGAATATTTAAAAAAAGCTTGCTGCTTACCCCTGTAACCCAGATAATCCTGGAGGATGTCCAACATACGAGACATCTGAGAAAACATCAGGACTTTATGACCTCCTTCTTTCAGGAATGCTAGCAGGCGGTCAATAAGGGTCAGCTTGTGGCTGGCTTCCACCAAGTGTTCTCCGAGCTCAAATGGTTCTGGTTCCACACCTTTTGAAATAAAACTACCAACATCACTCAAATGTACAGGATATGCATCCATTTTTGTTTCCCGTAATTATTATTTTATTACTTTTCCTTGTTTCTTTTCTACTTTAGCTGTAAACTCTGGTTGAAAGTTTTGGATGTTAGTCCACTTCTGAACTTAAATCTTGCTCCAAAACTTGAGTTTTGCATGCAAATCAAATTTACAGATTTTTTTTTTCAAATGCAGGTTGTTGGTTCCTTGCCTCTTGGAAAGACCCAATCTGACTACAAAGAAAACACCCTTAATATGTCTACTTGTATGTCATGCATGGCAGGGATGTTCATTAGCAAACAATAAGGCAGCAGGTGACCTAACCATAAACTGAGTGTGAAATTTGTTCAACAAATTTGGGCAGAGGAGAAAGAAAATCACAGATCAGTGGAAGAAAGGATAACTGAAATTCCAAAGAAAGATTATCTTAATGACTGTTAACATAACTGGAGAGGAATTACTGCTATCAGTAATGTCAAAGACTTTTTAAAATTCTCAACAGAATTAAATGAATAATGGACACAATCGTGAAAGGTTTTCGATCTGGAAGAAGCTGCTTAGATCAAATGTTGACTATAAGGTTTATTTTTGAAGAATTTATTGGAAAATAACCCTTTTGTTTTAAATTTTATTGACTATAAGAAGGCTTTTGATAGTTTCAACACAACTTTGCTATGGAAAATTTTGAAGTGCTGTGGTATACCAATGAAAATATTACAAATTATTAAGGCAATGTAACAAGATTCAGTGTGCAGTGCGAACAGTTGATGGTTTCAATGATTGCTTTTAAAATTATACTGGAGTTGCTTGTTGTTTGCGTTCTCTGGCTGTAAACCCTGGTGGAAAGACCTGGATGTTCATTCATTTCTGGACTTTGCCTTAGTCCTGGGACCTGATTTGTGCATGTGCATCCATTTTACAGATCTTGCTTATTTGTATGCAGACTGTTGGTTCCTTCTCTCTCAGGCAGATGAACTCCTACTTTGAAGGAAGCCCGCAATAACTTCACTCTTACAATATGCTTGTTGGGGAGGCAGTGGGTCTATTCTTGTTTTCCCCACAAAAAGGTCCCTGGAACCCACACAGGGAGATACTGGCATAACCAATGACTGGGTGATGAAAAAAAAATGTTGTGCTGGAAACACCGGCAGTGACTGGGTGAAGAACACATAGTCGGAAGATCTTGAAGGCATCTGCTTCTAATAGCCTGAATAAAACTTGGAACTCTAAATTGTATAGTTTTCAAACCAAGTTACGTATTTTCAATTTTAAGGTTATTTCAATTTTAACATTTGCCAGTGAATGTTGTAGAACCAATAAAGACACAGAACAAAAGTTAAATGTGTTTGAAAACTAAGGCAAATATCTGAGGAAAGGAAACTGATGAACACAAAATGAGATGAGTTCAAGATCAGTGAAGAAATAAGATAAATGTTTGGGCATTCACTAGTATCAACAGTTATAAGACAGAGAAGATGGCGCTACAGTGGGCACATCCTGAGAAGAAACCAGCAGAGAGTCACCAAACAGGCATTAACATGAGAAACAGAAGGATTAAGGAGTTTAAGACGCCCAAAATAAACCCTAAGGTGAACGTTGATGAAAGAGGCCACAGGGAGAGACCTATGTGTCCAAACTTTAGGGACACCTTGCTGTGATGAAATGGAGACGAAACAAGTTCACAAAAGAGATCTGATGATTAATGCAGATATGTATCATGTAAGGGAGTCGCGGTGGCGGAGCGGCCAGATGCTCGCCGCGGATTGGAAGGTTGTGGGTTTGCTCCCTGGCGAGCCAGACTTTTTTTTAAAAATGACCATTGCTCTCAGGTCGACCCAGCCTTGTGTGGGTACCGGGTGCAGTCCCGGGAAGTGAAGGCAGCCGGCGTGATGTTGACACCATCACCCCTCTTGTGCCGATTGGTCTCTACAACATAGGTCTAGCCCATATGCCCTATATGCCTAAATGTATCCTGTAAAAAACATAACAGAAAATATCAACTGTAACGACTACTAAGAAAACAACACGTACCATCAAACAGATAAGGATGGTTTACACACTTGCGTAGCTGCATCAAAATATTCAACAAGCGTGCATGACTGGAACCTGTGCCATTTTCAAACATTTCTGAAAATATAAGATCAATGAAAAAAATTAGAAATCAGTTCCGACCAAGGAAATAGAAGGTTCTGAATGTGCACTGGAGTTAATTTGTTATTATTATAAAATTAATTATAAACAAGATAGAAAGATTACATCAGAGAAACTCAACAACAGTACAATGTAGTCTTTGGTTGAGGCAGCCAGAAGAGCATGAAGTAGAACCTTTATTATCTCCTCCGTCACCCGAAGCGGTCAAAGAGGAAGTGAAGAAAAAGAAGAATAAATTAATAGTTTAAAAATGACACATATGAATGTTTTATTTCTTTAAAAACAGACATCTGTGTGAACATTTTGTGTGAATATCTACATAAAAAAACATTGTTGGAATTTAAAAACAAATATATCTATCCAATATACATCATTAGCTAATCTGCTGTTAAATTTATGTTTGATAATTTTATTCACCATAAAATTACTTTTAAATTTAAAAAAAATGTGTTTTGAGTGTTAACAATAGTAAAGTAAGTAAAGTAAAGGACCTTGTTTGTTCATCTTAAATATAACCTTTGCAAAATATTACTAATTAAACTAATCAATTTTTCAAAATGTCAGGTCTCAGTCTTTTACCATATCTTTTGGTCAGTATAGCTTTGTAGAGTTTCTTCTGTAAAGATAGGCATGGTAACAGGACAGCAAGTCTAGAAGTTATATGAAACAGACTGTGAAGTTCACTCATATCTAGAAGAACATTTTTTTTTTAATTTATGTTTATGTGTGAGTTTTAATCATATCTAAAGAAGAAAAGGACAGCAACAGGTTATTGACTGAGTGTCTATCACTGTCAAATACACGGTAACTAACAATGTTCCTGAAATCTATTGCACTTGTTGGGGATGATTCTTTTAAACTGAGCTGTGTTTGCTAGTCATGCTCACCATGTCTGTGAACTGTTATTCTCTTACCTCCATACAGCACAGTGGAATATTATCGTCTGGAAATACAGAAAGGTGCTGACTAAAACTTATCACCAAATAAGTTCACTCATATCTGGAAGGAAAATGCACCCACCATATATGCCCTAAATGAGTGGTTCACTTATATCTGGAAGAAAAAATGCACAAATTAGTTCATCCTTTATGGTTTTATATGTGTCAGTTCAATCAGTTACCCCAAAAAATATGCACACAGTATATATCCTATATGTTCTAAATAAGTGAAGTTCACTCACATCCGGATAGAGAATGCATATAAATATTCTGTATGTTCTTTAAGAGAAAAGTTCATCATGTGTGGAAACTGTAAATTCCCCCCCCCCCCCCCCCCCCACTTTCCATGATTGACATCTGAAAGATTAACACCCAGTGACTCAATGAGCCACTCTTCAGATGAGAATTCAGCAGCAGCAAATACTGGAAACCTCATTGCACCTAATAACATGGTATATATTAGGGCATCCGATGGTTACAAAGTTAATCTGGGGAGAAAAAAAACACCTTATAGATCCTACAATAAACATAATCCTACATGTAATATATCTCTATCACGAGGCAGGGATTGTCTTTCATCTGCGACAGCTCCCAGGTAAACCAAGCCTGAATATGAAGAAAGTCATAAGAAATAATCGTGGCCTGCTTGATCCTGACCAAATCATCTGTCACAATCTGACAGATTTATTAAAATAACAGGGTCTCCCAATATGACATCATTGTGACTCCAGACAGGAAAAAGGGCTTTCCACTGTCGTCATCATCATCAACAAGTGCCTACTGGCGTGGGCGATCATGCCTTTCCACAAGCTGCAATCCTCAACTGCGTGTATCAGTTCATGTGTTAACACTCCTCCATGTCGTGACAAAAGGTCGTCAGGAATCGTCTTGCGCTGTCTTCCTCTGTCTTTCTTTCCAAAGATCTTTCCAATGGTCACAATATGTTCCACTTTTCCTCTTCTCATAACATGACCAAAAAATGATGACAGTCTTTTTCTGATGTTTGTGATAAGTTGTCTCCTACCCTCGCCTCTGGGTTGCTCTTTTTAGCTTTCCAAGGAATTCTAAGGATTCTTCTGTAAAAACCACATCTCTGAGGCCTCAAGTAATTGTTCGGCCTGTTTATTAATCGTCCAGGATTCACAGCCATATGTTACAGTTTCCACTGTAACTTTATATTCTAAATGCTATTTCATTATAGAATGTAAAGTCACTGTTGCTCCAGGGTTGGGGCTGTCAATAAGTTTTCCAGTTTATATATCTCCTCATACCATGTGCCAAGTCACAATGTACTAGGGATAAAGAAATATAATCTGACTTTGAAATTTTAATTTCCTTTTTCACTGATAAACTTTTCCACAAATGTTTGTAAAAATATATTAAGTTATGATAGGTTATATAATGACAAACTGACGTCACTGAATATTGGGTATTCCCATTTCCACAATCTAAAAATATGATTTGACACCTGTACATTTTTCCCTTAATCTTCTATTTAAATCTCTTCCCAAAATGTATATGAAAACAGGATTAAATTTTGTCATGTTGCTCTTCATTTTCATTTGAAAGCTTTCCCAAAAATATATATAAAAACATGATTAAATTCTGACATTATTACCTTCATTTTCCATTGAAAACCTATCCACAAATTCATCTACTTTGGAGAGTTTGAACTTTGAACTGTTGACAAAACTCAGAAGTGCATAAAGCTCTCTAAGGTTGTTTTGTAAAGGAGTTCCAGTAAGTAGGATCCGAGTGTGAACATTCCACTAAAGAAAGACAAAAAATTAAAACAACAGCAGTAATTTAAAAATCATAACTACTGTGTTTCTACAGAAAAAGACAGGATTTTATATTATTTTTTGCTCAAAAATAGGCACTAGGACTTATTTCTTTGGAAAGTTTTTTTTTTCCAGATACAAAATCTGCCTTTATTGATTGACAAAATTCTACATATATTCAAATACAGTCATGCATCTTCTTATAGAATATCATTTGTAACACTTCAAGTGTATCTATTTGTGTGGTCATCGATGTCCCAGACTTACGGGCTGCTCCCTGCTGATTTCCAATGGGTGCAGCCCATGACGACTGGAAAGCTCAAAATGAGCTTCGGATTTGAGATTAAGCAGACATGTGCAGGACATGACAATTCCTTGGGTGAGCCCTGGACCAGAGCCTCATAAGTCGGCTCTGTATTTATGGAAGCCTCCTTGGATGGCAGGAAATGCCCACGATCTGCCCCTGCCTTCCCTTGAGGGACGACCTGTCTATACGTGGATGCTCTAGACAGGGTTTCCAGGGGCAAGACCTGTAGATAAGGGGATAAAAAGAACACCACATAAATAAGGCCACATGTCCCTGTCCCACGAAACTATCTGGAAAGTTAATACCGGTCAACAAATGCTCGATGAAGTCGGATGAAAAGTGCCAATATCGCAGCCTTGCTGTAAACAGACATAAAGCATTTACATCACTTGGATGAATGAAAAGAAGAAGAAAATTCATCTCTCCAAAATCTGGAATTCTGGCCTGAATGTCCTACGAATTATAAACCATATCCATTTATAAACAAGTGCGCATTAATGTCGTCTGTACTCCGGATGCACAATACAACAAGTCTCTCATTCTAGATGACAATATTAAATAGGGCTTTGGATGGTGAAAGGGGGCAGGGGTGATGGAGGGGAGGATAGGGCTTCACATTAAGAGCACTGAAAATTGGCTTAGCTCTGAGGTAGGTTTGTATTGTCGGGGGGTAAACCAGTTAATTCCGAACAAAAACAACTGACGATGTACTAAACAAAACTAAGGAATCGTTGTAGTGCAAGAGGCTAATGTATCTGCCCTCTAAGCCTAGCGGTGGTTTTAGTCGTCTGTATTCAAATCGATGGCAAGTGAAATGAAAATAAGTAAAACTTGTGGTGGGAAGGTGAAATCTAACTACTTTATTTTCATATTGGTCTGTTTCGTCTTTTTCTCCTGCACCACACTCAAAGGGGGCAGCAGTTGACTTTAGTTGTGGTTTTGGGTTTACAGCTCAGCTGCAATATCTGAACCTTTCAACCAGCAGATCCGATTTAGAAAATCGTCATCATTAAAGTCATCTTTTATGACATGCCCATTAAAAAGCGGAAGCAGTGGGTCTTATTCTTCAAACATAACAGACATAATTTTTGACATGATGGTTTACCGGCTGTAAAACTCCATCATGAAAAGTTTATGGAGCGTTCATCTGCTGAAAATTTGGTCTTGTTTGAACTTGAGTTCTCGACGCACAGATCTGGCTTACTTGTAAGCAGCGACTGTTGGTTCTAGCCCTTCAAGAAGATGCATCTCGGACTTCAAACCAAAACACTCTCTGATTAGTCAACTTTTACGATAGGCTTGTTACTGAGCAACAAAATGGGGCCTTCCGAAAACCACATGGGAAAAACATGGGTGGTCAAGATTTAATCCTAAATGGGGAACTTGAAAACCTATGACCACCAGGCCACTAGGTTACCAACTGTTACTAAAATAAAACGTTTCATAAAACCTCGGTGCTGGCCGTTTGTGATTTAACTGGGCACTTTTATGTTCAGTGGTTTGTTCACTGCACATCCCAGAACCCCATGATCAGTGCAACACAGAGTTTCTACAAAAGCTGAAGAAATTATGCAAGAACAAGCCAGATGCAAAAGTCAGAAGGATTTAAGATCACTAGTATCGGGTGTTAGACAAGGTGATAATATTCTCTCACCTTACCTCTCGTTATTATGATGGATGATGTTATCAAAAACTGTAATGGAGAAGACAAAGAAGTACTCAGTAGGGTACTGGAAGATGAGACCAATCTGTTTATCGAGCTGGCAATTGCAGACAATGTGGCCTGATAGCTAAATTTAGAGGCACACCCTTTAGTTCAAATTACCTTTTCTTGGGAAAGGGAAAAGTTGAGAAAAGAGGGGTGACCATCAGTATCTCCCCAAAACTAAAACCATGGTGATTTTCAAAAGAGGGAAGAAAAAACCCGATCATGATGGGCAGTACGCATTTTTAGCAGGTCAGCCAGTTTTAAATACCTTGGGTTTTTAAAAGACCGAAATGGAGGTATTAGGACAAAACTGGCTAAATGAAAAGAGGCTGGAGAAGTTTCCAGGCCAAAAAAACGGTTTTTTTAGCAAAAAAAATTTGGGAAAGGCGAAAATTTGGTTGTTTTCCCCTTTAACCAAAGTACCAAATCCTGACCTAGGGTGTGGGGTTATCTGCAATGACAACAGCTT